TCTGGTCACTGTACCTCAAAAAAGATATTATAGCATTGCAAAAGATGCAGAAAAGGACAACTAAAATGATTAAGGGGTTGGAACACTTTCCCTATGAAGAAAGGTTAAAGAGGTTAGGGCTCTTTAGCTTGGAGAAATGACGACTGAGGGGTGACATGATAGAGGCTTACAGTATTATGCATGAGATAGAGAAGGTAGAGGAAGAAGTACTTTCCTCCCTTTCTCACAATATAAGAACTTGTGGGCACTCAATGAAATTGCTGAGTGGTCGGGTTAGAACGGGTAAAAGGAAGTACTTCTTCATCCAAAGAGTGATTAACACATGGAATTCACTGCCACAGGAAGTGGTGGCGGCTACAAGCATGGACGGCTTCAAAAGGGAATTAGATAAGCATATGGAGCAGAGGTCCATCAGTGGCTATTAGCCACAAGGTATAGATAGGGGCTCTGGGGCAAGTGATGCTCTGTCTTCTTGGTGCTTGGGGGGGGGTCAACAGTGGGAGGGCTTCTAATGTCCTGGCCCCACTGGTGGACCTCCTGATGGCACCTGGTATTCCTGGCCACTGTGTGACACAGAGTGTTGGACTGGATGGGCCTTTGGCCTGATCCAACATTGGCGTCTCTTATGTTCTTAGGATATATGCCAGGCTTTGGATGTGATGCTTTGGTATAGCTCATACTATGTTATTTATTTATAGTCTGCCTTTCTTATATGGAATCAAAGTGAATCCACATAATTTGTCAGTACAGTCAACAAGATGGAATATTCAGTAACTAATGCATTAGGATATTAGAAGACTGGAGCCACCAGAAAGAACAGGAGCATAGCCTGAGTATTAACATAACACATGAAACATCACAGAAATGACATAATAGTATCTTTTTTACGATATGCTGTATACAGCAGAAAAGACCACAAGTCCTGATTATTTATTAAAGTAGGCTTGTGAAAGTATTTTGTACTGTGCAGCCTTATTTACCTGCGCAGAAAAGCTCTCTTGACTAGTTTCAGTTTGCATAGTTTGCAGAAGCCAGGAGAGTGGGAGCTTTCCAGACCTCTTCTGGCAAGGTGGGAGCCCCAATGGAGAAAGCATGTGTACAGGTAGCTGTTGAATTTGCCCATTTGCAGGTTGGCACCTGAAGAAGCCCCAGCCGACATGAGCGGTCCCATAAATAAGAGGGGCCAAAACATTGAAGGGTTTGATATACGATAGCCATGTGTTATTTTGCATGGAGAGGTCCATATTTAAAATATGGATGATTTAAATGTTCTCTCTGTACAAAACACCACACAAACACCATACTGCCTAGTACTATTGTCCTGCTGCTGTATGAAGCTAACAGTGGTCTTCAATACAAAAACTGATCATTTTCAGAGCCTCAGCAGAAGTGCAGCATCAAGCATTCCTTCATAATACACATCAGCCAAAGAAAGATACGTTAAAAATGTTATGGGGTTGTGCTTTTCGTGTAAGAGAAAAATTGTCTTTTGTAACGGTTGTAAACAAAAGGAGAGAAAAATCACTTTGAACAGGACATGTTGCTAACAGAGGGGAAATAATCTCGGACCTTGTATGAAAAATGAGTTTCCCATTGCTCATTAGTTTCTTTGACAAAACATCTCTTCCTCAAAGCGGAAGAGCCAGTCCCACCTTTCCTGTATCTCATTGGACTAAGAAGGACTTCAGTAGTATTCCAAAGACATCTTCAGTGAGTGTCTATGAAGAAAGTGTTGCCTTTGTTGTAGGAGGATGCGTGACTTGCAACCTCTCAACAATTTGTGATAGACCCCAGTATCCTGTGGCAGGTGTTTTGTGATTCTCCCCTCCCTCCCATAGACATAGCTATTTGGTAGTGTCAACCCCACACACACACACACTTCTCAGAATTAAAGATTGGGGACCTCTGATGCATATTGCCAGGAAATATCATACATTTTAATTCCATGTGTTTTCAGATGGCCTGGATTTCTACTATGCTTCAAAACAGCATGCTCAGAAGATGGTGGACTTTCTTCAGTGTACAGTTCCTTGTAGGTAAGAATATAAAGAACAAAATGTTTTGCATATCTCTTTCCTTAAGATATTTAAGTCCCATTTAAAGCCAGTGTGATAGAAACAGCATAGCTGACCCTCAGACCCTTATGAGTTTGTTCTCCGTTTCAATTCAGTCCTGTTTCTGATGCACTAGAAACCAGCTCTGTCCACCTTATCCCCTGGTGGTACAGAAATAAGGTATTAAATTGCTCACTTGAATGTGCATAATTAGCACCCCAAAAGCCACTCATTTCTCAAAAATCTCTATATTATATATTGTATTGAAATGATCTTCTCCTTTCCCCACCCTGGGAAAGAAGAGAATTGCTATCAGAATAGATCCTGATTATAGAGATCACTAGAAGAGTGGAAAAGCGCTTGAGATGCATACTGGAAGAAGCAGAGGTATAGGATACAATAGCAACTCCCCTAAACCAGGGAATTTCTCTATAGCAGGAAGGCAGGAGCAGAGAACAGACAGCTGGTGAGGGAGGGCAGCTGTTCTGCCCCAGGACGTTAACCCTCCCTGGACCATCCCTCCGTTTAAGGTCATCCCTTCCATGCACTTTGAAATCCTACGAACAGTTTAGGAAACAGGAAAAATGTTTTCAGTTCCCTGCTTTATCAGTCATTGTGTGTTTTAATTCATCCTTCACCCAGTTTGTGTTGTGACATCTGAAAGTTCTATTGGTGGGCTTCTGCCCTTACAGAGCTTTGCTTTTGAGTATATTAATATGCATTCCCTTGACTGGATTTTGGGTTGTTTTTTTTTATTTCTAGGTCTAAATCATCCCAGCGTTTGATCTCTCATGACATTCATAGCAATATCTACAACTACAAAAGCACTTTCTCACTGGAGATTGTTCCCATATGCAAGGTATGTCATGACTTTCTTTGTTTAAAAAAAAAAAGAGTTTGGGGACTGCCTCCTAAGTGAATTGTTGACTTACATGTTACTAGTTCTACTTTCACAGGTTTTAGCATAGATAATAAAATGTGGTTTCAAGGGGCTTGTTCAGGCATGCATATTCATCATTCACAGTAGCATACAGTGATGGTGTTCAAAGCATTAGAAATTTTCCAAATGAAAACTGATCAGGTTTCCCCTTTTTATGGCCCTGAACCTCAAGATCCAACTGCAGCATGGAATGTTAAGGAGCAAAAAAAGGCCTTATTCTTTTGAAATTCCAGTTTTAAAACCTTTAGCCATTGGATTGAGACATTTTCAGTGTATCATTCGGACAGGAGAAAGTGCAAATTCAGCCTTATTTAATCAGGACTGTATTGAACATAAAATGGCCTTTTTCCTGTATCTTCTTTGTAATGCTTTTAAAATCTTTCAAGCCAGAGAGGCAAGGAAATCATAAAGAGTTGCTATGCATATCAATTATAATTTTTTCCATTAGTATCCCACTCTCCCCCACTAATGTGAGCGGGGTACAAATTGAAAGTATAAATAAATAAAATAAATAAATAATGTGGCACTCAGAGTGGGTTCCAACACAATAAGTAAAACATACATAAAAGTAAAACATTTCAATTAAAACAATTCCAGAAAAACAATTTTCATGATGGCCCGTATGCAGGGGTCATTTTCTGTGGGAGTGCACAGGAGCGGAGCTCCGGCAGTAAGGAGCCCAGGGTGTGGGAACATGCAACAAACCCCACCCTCTGCTCCCAGCAGCCCTCAGTCAGGCCATGAGGAGCAAGAAGCAACCAGGTAAATTGCAGAGCCCCCCCCAGCCCGCCTTCAGGTACAAGCTCTCCCTCCCCCCATAGCTAGCAATCCAAAACAATCCAGTGGCACCTTTAAGACCAAGTTTTATTCAGGTACAAGCTCTCCCTCCTCTGCGAGGACAGATCTGCATGCCCCCCTCCCGATAGCTAGCAATCCAAAACAGTCCAATGGAGCCTGAGCGGTGGTGTTGCTTTCTGACACACTTCCGGTGATGTCAGAGGGTGTGGCATGTGCAAACAAGTTATGCTAATAAGTTATGCTAATGAGATCCTGCACCTCTTTTTCTATGAAATGACCCCTGCCCGTATGTTCACTATACTGTTGCCCCAGGGAGAGAAAGGGAAGGGGCAAGGTTAGTGGAACCATGTATCTGGAAGTTCCCCTGATCTCATCCATACACTTGGCAGTATACTCCATCTTACAGGCCCTGCAGAATTGTACCAAATCGCACAGGCCCCGGATCACAGTTGGGAGTGCATTCCATCAAGTTCGAGCCATCACTGAAAAGACTCTGTTTCTGGTCGAAGCCTGGTGAATATTCCTTGGTCCTGGGATCTCCAGTGTGCTGTTATTATAGGGTTGCCAAGTCCTTACTGTATGTAGAGTGGGGGACTCCAGCGCTGCTCCAGGAGACCGTGTGCGCGCCGCAATTATATCATCCAGAAGTGACGCAACCACGTCGGTCCTGCTGGGAGGTGGGGGGGCCACAATCATCCGAGGGAAAAACAGAGTTTTTCCTCAGATGACCGCGGCCCCGCGCCCGACGCAACTGCGTCACTTCTGGGTGACGTGCTGACGCCGGGCACGTTGCGTGCTTTGGGGGTTGGGTTCCCCCCAGGGCCCGATCTGCCAGCGGCGGGTAACGGGGCTCTCGGGTGGGGGTTTCCCTGCCCCCCGGGGGGACTTGGCAAGCCTATGTTATTAGAAGATTGTAATGCTCTTTCGGGGGTATGCTAAGAGAAGCGGTCCCGCAGCTATGTTGGTCCCAGACTGCATAGAGCTTTAAAGGTTAAAACCAGCACTTTGAACGTGATCTGATACTCAAACTAGAGCCATTGCAGCTAGCGGAGCACTGGTTAGATATCTGCTCTAATAGGGGTACCTGTAATGACTCTCACTGCTGTGTTCTGGACCAGTTGAAGTTTCTGGGTCAGTCTCAAGGGTAGCCCTGCATAGAGCGAATTACAGTAATCTAGCTTGGAGGTGACCATTGCATGGATCACTGTGGCTAGGTCAGGGTGGGACAGGAAAGGGGCGAATTGCCTGACGGTATAAATAGGAAAATGCCAGCCTGGTCCTGAAAATTTCTTTTAAAAACCCCCACAAAGAATACATTCTGCTAACAGTAATTTATAGAAGCATTTTCTAAATGTATTTACTGTGCAGGACAATGTTGTATGTCTGTCTCCAAAACTGGCTCAAAGCCTTGGAAATATGAGCCAAATCTGTGTTTGCATCCGGGTAACCAGCACCATTCACATCATTGATCCTAATACGCTACAGAGTAAGTTCTTTCTGGATTTTTCCCTCTTAATCTTTTCACTGAATAGTATTAAGTACTCCATTGGCATTGATTTAAATGTTCCATTTAGGTAAGATGTCACAATACAAATTTTGAATAATACTGAACACTGCAGGACTTTTTTTTTACATCTATTAGTTAATGTTTGTAACATGAGTGTACTTCCTGATAGCAAAGAGCAAGCCAAGCCACATTTTAGTGAAATGTAGGTATGAATGTTTTTGCCTCTAAATCCCCCTTTAAAAAAACTGGTGTTCATTTCAGTACTTTTTTTTATTTACTTCGTTCATGTGTACCCCACTTTTCTCCACAAGGGGGAGCCATAGTGATTTACAGCATTCTTCCCTTCACCATTTGATTCTCCCAGTAGCCCTGTGAGGTATGTTAGGCTTGAGAGTGTGTGTCTGGTCGAAGGTCACCCAGAAAAATTCAGTGGCAGAGCAAGGATATGAACTTGGGTCTCACAGATCCTAGCTTGACACTGCATACTGCAATAAGCAGGCTGGATTTAGTGACGATTTGCATTTTTTTATTTTATAAAATCACCAGTTTCATATTTGTAGTATTTTAAAAACTCCTGGGTATATGCTGCTGAGACTCACTGATGTTAATTTTTGATGTTGGCTGCAGTTCAGGTGCAACCCAAAACATTCTCCAAAGCCTAAAAAATAAAGTTCAAAATTCTTCTCCCTGAAAACTATTCTCATCTGTGCACTGAAACCCCACAGCTCTGCTTGTCTGCTGCGGAGCACGCTACTTCAGTTTCTGACACTGCCTAAATTTGGCTTCTTAGTCAGTACAGTCATGCGTCATATGTCATTCTGATGTAGAAATAATCACTGATCACAGGGAAAGCCTGGAAGTTTTTGAACTTTGCAGAATTCCTGCTGTTGACATTATCAAATTTTGAAGTGGGGACACTATAGCAGTGTGGTAATTGTAAAACAGAACATCTAGGAAAGCTGAGATGTTGATTCCGAGTTGATTTTTGCATGTTCCTGGGAATTGGGAAGGCAAGAGAGCTGTGTTTAAATGCATGTGCTCCTGATTTGAGGAACAGCATGCTCTGCATGTTGCCCCAGTCATACAAAATACAAAAAGCGCTCATTCATACTTAGTGCAGTGGCACGCTCCTCTGGTTTTCAAGAAGCACATTTTGAAAGGGGCTGTGGCTCAGTGGTAGGGCACATGCTTTGCATGCAGAAGGAGCTCAGGTAGCAGGGGGCTGTATGATACCCTGGGGAGCCACTGCTACTCAAGGCAAGCTCTACTGAGTGAGATGGAGCAGTGGTTTGACTTGGCATAAGGCAGCTTCGTCTTGTCAAATCAGCAGAAACTGCCTTTAATTACGATAGTGTTAGTTCTGTGCCAGAGATATGCAGCTGCATAGAAAATGGCAGGCATCTCCCAATCTCCAGTTCATGCTTTATGGAGTTTTTCCAAAATGGAGTATTAATAAGGCAATATCCCTGTTTTGTCATCAAGTTGGCCAAGTTAAAAATTGCTTTGCAGATGTCTTCCACTTAATCCATACTGCTTTCCTTGCTCTTTCTCAGTGGCTGAAATTGATGGAAGCACCTACTGGCGTCATCCTTTCAACAGCTTGTTCCAGCCAAAGCAGTTAGAGGAATTTATTGTAATGGATATCAGCAGAGTCCATAACAAAAAGCAGAGTGCTGGTGCAGGAATGCAAGCAAACAAAGTAAGAGTTACTTCTTTGTTTTCCTTTAAGGCGTTTGGGCGAATCTTGCTATTTTGCAGGATTTTTAGTTCTATATCATGGTATGTGAATATATTGTAGGAGGTGCAGATCAGTAAAAGAAAGGGCCACATCAGAAGAAGCCTGGTTTTCTTGGTTGGGTCTGCTTAAGGCTGCAACGAAGTGCTTACTAAGCACCAGTGAATTCAGTGAGAATTCTGAGTAAGCACCTCACAAGGAGAACCATTTCATCTTGAGTCCTTATTCTTGCATAAAAAGTTTAGGTCCAGTTTAGGCGTGTTCAGATTATTTATTTATAAAAGTATGAACATATAGATACAACTTCTGAGCATCTGTCTCTTCTCCCAGAGCATCTATATCTTCTCCCAGTCCATGTTTTCCCCTTCTGTTCAAAATCCTAACCTCACTGGTATACAATCTTCACTTAAAATTCTTGTTTTAATATTCTAGATGTATTCCATCACTAGACGCTTCTAGATTTTACTACCCAATGAGAATCAGTTGTCCAAACAAAAAGATCTCTTTGTGGGTGTGCATTTGGATCTTCCCAAGAGAAAAATATACCCCAAAATACCTTATCAGTATTTTTCGGTTATACTTAGGCATCTCAAAAGTATCCAGGATTTTTCGGAGAACTGGGGGGGAAATCCTGGATATTTTCAGGAACCAGGAAGACTGGGGAAACAGCTGAGAGGCAGGGAGGCTGCCCCACACACACTTCTTCAGTCCATTTAAACCAGGCTGTTTTAATGGGAGTGCAGAAAAGATCCAGGAAACAGCTGAGAGGCTGGGCATCTGCTCTCCACCTATCAGCTGTCCCCCACCCCTTTTCTGCAGTCTATTTAAACTAGGCTGGTTTAAAGGGACAGCAGAAAAGACTGGGGAAACAGCTAAGAGGTGGGAGCCACTGCTGAACTGTGTTTTGCAACTTTGGTAGTCCTGGGTTGGTCCTCCCTGGGTTTTCTTCTCATCTTGGGTCTATTGGACCCAAAAAAATTCAGGATTTAAAAAAATAAAAATCGTGGATCTGAATACTTTGCCAGTACTGGGATCCAGGATTTTTTGAAATCCACAAAAAAAATAAATGTATCCAATGTACCCAAATCCAAAAAAAGTGTGTGGGGGGAAACCTAGTCATAATTAAGTACAGAATTGCTGAGTTGGCTTGTGTAAGTGCCTTGCTTGGTGTCTCCTTTACATTCTTTCAGACACCAGGTCAAAACATATACTTTTACCCAGGTTTTTAATGGGGGGGGGGGGGCAATTTTCCCAACTTTTTTAATGGTCTGCTTCTGTTTTTTTATGCTGTTTATGTTCAGTTGCTTCTTTTTATATTGTTACATTGTTTTAATTGTAAATGGCCTCAAACAGAACTCTGAAGAAGCAGTGCCAAAATATCCTAAATAAGAAAATAAGAAGCTGGCTTATACCATTGTTTCATGTAGCAAAATATTACCTATTCACACTGGTGATGGCTGTTTAGTCTCAGAATAGGGTTGTATATTCGGCATAAACCGAACTGGAAAAAGTCCTTACCAGAATTAGGGTATTATTGAAGCCAAATACAGATTCAAAAAATCAATTGGCTACCACTATAGCTGAACCCAAAAGCCGATTTTTTTTCTGGCTTTTATTTGGGTATATTCGGTTATACTGAAGAGGAGCCAGCCCCAGCCGAGACAGTGCAGAGCTCTCAACTCCCACCTCCCCTGCTGATCCTTTTTTCAGCTGGGGTAGAGGAAGCTGAGAGCCCCACCTCAGCTGGGGCTGGCCTGGTTCCTCTTCCAGCTTGGTTTAAACTGAGTTGCAAGAGGAGCCAGCCCCAGCCAAGGCAGTGCAGAGGTCTCAGCCCCTGCTGCCCCAGCTGATCCTCTCAGGTCTGCATGTGGCAGCGAGAGACCTCCCCGCCACACACAGATCCTGGGGACAGTTTCTCCTGCAGCAGGGTTTAAACTGTGCTGCAGGAGAAGCCAAGGCAGCCCCTGAGTCAGGCTGGGGTTTCCCCCCCTCTTGAATAAGCATTTTTCTTCTTGAGTCTATTGGACCAAAAATAAATAAATCGTGATTTCCAAAAAAAATCCTGGATCCGAATACCACACTGGCATTGGGATCTGGATTTTTTTTGGAAATACTGAAATTTTTTCAGGTCCAGTAGACCTGAACTAAAAAAAATGCCATTGTTTTTTTTTTGGGCACACCCCTATCTCAGAGGTAGATTTCATGCCTTATACTGCTTCATCTAGGTCAGTATTGTCTGCTCAGACTGGCAGCATCTCTCCAGAATTTCAAGTAGAGGTCTTTCACATCACCTACTACCTAAGACATTTTTAATTGGAGGTGTTGGGGATTGAACCTAGGACCTTCTGTTAGTGAAGCAGATACTTTGCAATTGAGCCGTAGCTCCTTCTCAGGGGCCCTCTCCAGAACCTGGGAACTCTTGACGTACAAAATATATGCTTTGCCACTAAGCACTGGCTAGTCTCAGATGGCCAGTATACAAGTAAGCCATTGTTCTATGTTCTTTGAATGAGTTTTAATGCAGTTTATTTGAGCTGAGGTTTTCCAGTTGGGTGGCATCATTAAGAAGGTCTTGTCACTTATCCATATAGATAGCATTTAGATGGATGAACTCAAAAGCATGATCCCCACTAGCTGTGTCTGCCTTAATGAAAGCTCTATTGAAAGATCTTCATCTGCTGTTCCTTAGGATTTTAATTGGACTGTTATTTAGGAGTAGCCCAGCTTTTGCTGCTGATAAAAAGGTTGCTCTCACAAGTGGAAAGCATTCCTGTATACAAGATAAAATAGTGCAAAGTGATACCAGTGATAGTTTTGGTAAAGCAGTGCCAGATTTGGCTCAGGGAAACAGTCTAGATTAGAGGTCAAAAATCTGCATATTCTGAGCCAAGAACAGCCTCTAAACATAACTTGTAAAAATTTCAGCATTTTGCAAGAAAACAAGATTAAAGCTAAAAACAAAACAAACCTTGAAAGCAGTTTCAGTTTGGTTCATAACTTATCTGTCATATTTTTAAAAAACAGTGTATACTTTCCCTTTTGTCTTTCCTAAGCATATGCTTGCTGAAGCCTGGGTACAGAAGACATCAGAACTGAATACAGATCAGCAGTATTTCTGTCGCACTCATCTGGGGCATCTTTTAAATCCTGGCGACCTTGTGTTGGGGTTTGTACTGTTTTGTGCTACTTCCAGTTGATGTTCAATTAAATGTTTGTGTGTTGCTTTCAATAATTGTCTCAGTTGAGGCCTATGTTTTTGATCACTGATGGAAAGGGTTTTCTCAAAGAGAGGAACTGTGAAACTGAGAATTATGAAAGGCCAACCTAGGGAGTCAACCTGGATGGCCCAGGCTAGCCCAGTCTCATCAGATCTTGGAAGCTAAGCAGAGTCAGCCCTGGTTAGTATTTAGGTGGGAGTCCACCAAGGAGTTCCAGGTCACTATACAGAGGAAGGGACACACAGCCTTAAATCCGGGGCTTAAGGCCTGGAGTGGTCTGGGGGCAGATGCAGCTGAAGTCCAAGGAGGCAGAATATTGAGGAGGAAGGGGAGGGGGGATCTTGCAGAGTGTATCAGGGCTTCTCAGAAGCAAACCAGAGTTCTGACCATCAGAAATCTTGACTTGAGATCTAAGGAACAATTTGCTAGGGCATGGGATTCTTCTTTTATGGACTGAAGATTCCCAGGGTGGGTGGTGTTTGGCTATCCTGGCTTTGGATTGGGTCAGGATAAAAAAGTTTGTCTCTCACTGGCTGGTTTGAAGTTAACTGCTGTCAAACTGAGCCAAATCTGCATGGGCATAAAGAACCTGGGTGAGGCAGCATACTTTAATTAGCATACTTTAATTAGGTTGAAGTGAGCATGGGCACAAAAGTTTGGATGAGTTGATAGCTCCAGAAACAGAATGGAGGGCAAATTAATGAGGGCTCTTCTTGATTGAGTAAAAAATGGAAAAGAAGAACTGGGAATTGGTTAATGAAATAGCAACTTCCTTGGACTGGGCAGACACCTCTGTGGTATGTCAGGATATTGGGCCATATCTCGAGTGTTGAAAAGTCCTTTGTTATTGAGAACGATGTGCCGCTGAGCTGGGGTAGATTGCACTGAATCAGTTTCTAATTCCAGCACACTCTTCCTCTTCTTTCTTGGGATTTTCCAATGTCATGGCTGAACCCAAGTTGCCTTTGTGAGACTCTCCAAGTTTCAGATCCCCTTGACACTTAGGTTGTAAAAGGAGGTGCCTATTAAAACAACTAAGTCCAAAATAAGAGGGGAACCCTACTATCTAATGGGTCTTCGTTGAAGGAGGGGGTGAATTCTAATATTCAATAATTCTAATATTCATTAACAAGTTCAGGTCAATGTTCAACCCCCAGGCTGCACATGGGCATATGATTATTATTCGTTGACAGATGTTTATTTTCTGCATTTCACCCATCTGCATATCTCTGTGCATTTTGCATGCTGGGTTTTGCACTGTACCTCTGCATGTGGGCCCTTCTTTGTAATACTCCTCCATTCCTTATTACCTGAAGATAACCACTTTTCCTGCCCTGTGCCCTCCTTTTTCTGCCCAGTTATGTCTTACCTCTCTCCATCTCTTCCCTCCTCCCCATGATAGTTCATGTAGGGGAGGTAAATGGCAAGAGCCACTGAAGGAAGTAGAGCTCTTGGGAATTCAAGCTGAGCCCCTTACAGTGGATCTTCCCAACCTCTTAGTGGAGGTACTGTGCCTTATGGATTGGTGTGAGCAACAAGGCATTGTAATAAATGGATTAATTTCTGTTGGGTTTTGCAAAATCCCCACTTGAAATGAAACAAGAATCATCCCCTTGTCCTAATGCAGTGGCAGGTGAAGAGACTTTGTGGTCCAGAAGATCCAAGCAATAGCTTCCTAGTAAGACCATTCCAAATATATATCAACCTGTGGTCTACGGCTAAAGCTCTCAGAGCCTTGAGATGCATGACAGAATATTTGAAATTAGGCCATAAAAATAGATATATTAATATTGCAGTAAATACAGATCTTTAGCCTGATTGAAGTTCACTTTACTCCTGTTCAGAAATTACAAGTGAACACATGTACAATATGTGTATGGTGTACACTTGATTATATGTGCACTGAGTAACTCTTAAGTTACTTTTCATGTTTGTACAGTTGAATGCGTGATTTAGACCTCACATTTACCCAGTTGCTGGTTCTCAATTCTTATTTGTAAAGGCATTGCACATTGCCTCTTTTTTACAAACAGATTACACACAGGCAGGATGTATGTGTGTTCACTGTAACGTGTGAACAGGGTATAAATACCAGCCCACATAGGAAGGACTTGGGATGTTTCTGGAAGGAGTAAGTCTCCTTGTTAGAACTGTTGTTACTTTGGTGTATTTAAAGGGGACATTTGCATCATGCTTGTAATCCCTGGACCAGCTTGGTTTACATTTTGGTATAGTGGTTAAGTGCGCCAGTTTGGTGTAGTGGTTAAGTGCGCTGACTCTAATCTGGGAGAACCAGGCTTGATTCCCCACTCCTCCACTTGCACCTGGCTGGGTGACCTTGGGCAATCTGTAGTTCTGATAAGAGCTGTTCTTGAAAAAAAAGCAGTTTCTGTCAGAGCTCTCTCAGCCCCACCTACCTCACAGGGTGTCTGTTGTGGGGAGGGGAAGGGAAAGGAGTTTGTAAGCCGCTCTGAGACACCTTTGGGTAGTGAAGGGCGATGTATAAATCCAATCTCTTTTCTTCTTCTTCTTCTTCTACATTTTCTTCCCTGATTTCATGCCTCTTATAAAACACTACAAGTCTCCATGTTGATACTCTGATTTGTTAGACAACACACTCTTCTTTATAGTTGTATTTTAGATTTTACTTGGCTAATTGCAACAAAATTCTCTGTTCTTTATATCTTCTAGATTTGACTTGGCCAATTGCAACCTAAATGATGAATTTGCAAATAAGATGAATCCCCAGACAGTTCCTGATGTGGTAAGAGTCTGGCATTTCTTTCCTTAAGTACTCAGGCACTGTCCAGGCAAGTTTATAAACCCATTAACCTACAGATCCAGTGCTCCCTCTAAGCTTTGGAGTCTTGTGAGCAAAAATTCTATTTTGTGAGTGACTGGCATTAAAGTTGTGAGCGAGCAATTTGGCTACTGCATAAATTAGTTAGCTCTGGAGCCATCTTTCCTGAGCTAAGATAAAAATGTGTGAGCCGGGGGCTAAAAAACTGTGAGCTAGCTCACACTAACTCAGCTTAGAGGGAACAGTGGTTGGATCCATTAAGCGTGGTGTCTTCCATCCTGGAGCCTTTCACAAATGGAATGCACCTCTTACGCTGAAGCAGAAGTGTCTAAGGGATATTCCTCCAAATAGGTTTCTGTAACAATTTCCCCATGATCCCCTTATCATCTTCTTGGCTGGGCAGTCCATTTTCTTTCTTTTTCTGTCTGTCCCACCCAGTTTAAATGTATAGAGATATCTGCTGACCCAATCTAGGGATCTGAGGGACCAGCTAAAACCCTTCTTTTGTCTTTGATTGATAAGGACAAACAAGAGGCAGATGGTAATGCAAAACTAACGAACTGTTTTATTTGACTTATGAGAGGAAATGGTCATGTAGATATCAGGTTCAGGACTTAGAAGGTGACCAGGCAACAGGAATGAGGTAACTTTGTATAAATGTAAACAATAGACAAAGGTATTTAGTTGTCTTTAGACACTGAGGAGAGAGATTTCTTGGCAGTTTCTGCTTAAATAAGCAAGCATAAGCTTCTTTGTTTCAAAGACAATTAAGCTGGTGAAGGCAGAAACATTCACACAAGTTCCAGTTTCCCTTCTTAACCATTTGATAGGGATCAACCCCCCCCCCTTTTCAAGGAGCTATATCCTTCATGCTTGAGTGGGAATCCCTCTCGATCCTCTCACTCTTATAACATTCCTTCCCAATCAACTGTCATTTCTCAGCTGCCACTCCTAGCTGACACTCAACTGTAGAATTTCATTTGAATCTTGTCACTCAGTGTTTTCAGACTGGGTTAAAGCATTAACCATTTACTGTCCATTATAGTTTCCTTGCATCTTATTTTAGAAACTGGATTTCCTGTAAACTATCTGACAAACTTTATTCTTGACCTTGTACATATTATCCCACCTTGTACATATTATCCCATATAGGACACTTTTGCCTTTGCTTCAGCTTAAGGCCTTCACAAATATTCATTTAGATTCATGCTGTAAGAGATCATTGTATATGTTCTGCGAGTGGTATTTCTAGCCTGGTGTCATTTCCCCTCTCTTCCATCTCTAGGTATTAATCAAGAAGAGCTATGATCGCACAAAGCGCCAGCGTTGTAGGAACTGGAAACTGAAGGAACTAGAGAGAGACAGAGAAGGCATGGATACAGATGATGAAAGGTTCATGCTTTTTCTTTGTTTCCCTGCCTTATCAGCCCAGAATATTGGAATTGTTCATGAGCAAATAAAGTTGCTGAGAAAGAGGGGCCCTGTTGGAATTTTCCATGCAGTGTTCAGGATAATACCGGAATTCTCATGGGTAGTATAGCAGTAGGTGTCCAGCGGGATACGTCTTTTATAAATGTTAAATATACTAAAGCCATGGCATATTCTCATTTTTGAATCAAATATGACAGCACAGACTTCACAAAACTGGGTGGGTAGAGGACAAAGAGATATGTCAATGTTATACGAACCTATATAAATTCAGGAGGGTTTGGTGGGGCTATCCAGTGTTTTGCAAAGAGTGTCACAAACTTGAGAAATTGTGGGTATATTCTTGATGTGTGGCACTCTTGGCTCTCAGGGACTAGGTTCATTCCGTGTGGCTAGGGTTGCCGACCTGGAGACAGAGAGGTGTATGTGGACCAGACACTTTGGGATCTGCTGGAGCTCTTTTCTGCTTTTGTGAAGAGTGAGAGTCTCAAGGCAGGAGAACATCAGGCTGAGGAGAGTGAAAATAATCCGTTTGCATGGACATCTTCCTTGCAGGATGAACCAGTGTCTCTCATGCCAAGGATACTTCTTTAGAGTTGGGGAGAGGTGGGCTACTGGGAGATTTGGTTGTTAGGAATATGCAGAGCAGGGTTTGTGACAGGTATTTTGGCCACATGGTGACATGTCTGCCTCATGCCAAGGTTGCAGACCTCATGCACTGTCTAGTTAGTGCAGGGGAGGAGTTAGCAGTTGAAGGTGCACATCAGCACAAGTTCTGGAAGAACAAATGTAAGTTGACAATAAGGAGAGTAAAAAGAGAACTTGAGGAGTGGATGGGCAGCCATATTAAGACAAACAATAAGCATTCCTTGAGATCTATCAGGAGCAAGAAACCAGTTGGGCCTTTGTGTGACAATAGAATAAGGGGATTGTTTGAGAAACGTAAAGAATTCATTCAGTTTCAGCATGACTTCTGCAAAGGGAAATTCTGCTTCACCCCAGCCTCTTGGAGTCAATCCTTTGAGCAGGTTAACAAGCATATGAATCAAGGGCAATCCAGTAGGCACCATGGACTGTTGACAAGGTAGCCTCACCAAGGCTGTTGACAAGGTACCTCCCCAAAACTTCCAGAGTAAGCTTTGCAGTCATGGGATAAGAGGGACTGGGTCCTCTCATGGGTTAGAAGTTGAATAAGTGGCAGGAAACAGAGAGTAGGAATAAATGGACAGCTCTCGCAATGGAGGGACAGCTCAAGGGCTCCCAGTGAAATAGTTGGCAGATCGGTTCAGAATAGACAAGAGGTAATACTTCTTTACTCAGCGAATACGTAAACTAGGATTCGCTGTCAGCAGAGGTGGTGATGACTGTGAGCATCAATAGCATTAAAAGAGGATTATCCAGATTCATGGGAAAAGAGTAGTTCATCAGTGGCTACTATCCACAGTGACTAAAGTGAACCTCCATATACAGAGACAGCAGATGTCTGAATACCAGTGCTAGGAGTCAGCATCGGGGAAGGTCTTGGCTTCTGTGTTCTGTTAGCGTAGCCTTCCAGGGCAACTGGTTGGCCACTTTGTGAAACAGGATGATGAACCTCTGGTCTGATCAAGCAGGCTTTTCTTATTTCCTTAATCACAAGGTGGTTTATATTCTGAAGCACTAAGGTTCCAAGTATGGCTCTGTGGGCACCAAAGTCTGAAACTCATTTGAAAAATCAGTGTAGGGAGGAAGTTAAAACCTTTAGTCTGGTTCCACTAAACTCAGGGTTATAGTCTCCCATGAGGATTTGGGGAGTCTTTCTGTCAGCAGGGATTTGCCTTGACTTGACATAGGAAGTTGGACAAGGGCTGAAGTGCTAAGAGAACATCTCTTGTGAAAGAAACCCTAAGGCAAGCTGGTGCATAAGAACCAATCTGGATCAGATCCAGTGGTCTATCTAGTGCAGCTTTCTGTCTCATACTGTGGTCAGCCAGTCACTCTGGGGGGCCAACAACATGGCATGGAGGCCAGGGCCTTTCCCCAGTGGTGCCTGCTGACACTTTTGAAGGTTTTTCTTGTTGTCTGTAGTTGCAGATGCTTGCTTTGTACCTTGTTTTGCATGAGGTCACCTCAGTGCTTCTCTGTGCCCACCCAGTGTATTGTTCTTTCTTAACAGGATAGACTTGTCAGGTAGTAATTGAATTCATAGGTGTGTTGTGAAATGTAGGTGAGGGCTGGTCTTTCAACCAGCCAGTCTTAATTAGGTGAAAGTTTGGGTTATAGTTAAGGCCTCTCCTAATGTGCTTGATGTGTGCAATAATGAATGAGATGCCACAGAGTTTGATTGGTTTAGTTAGAGCTGTTTAACCATGTTCTAATCCTGAATTCTTGAAACCAGTTATCAGGATAATCCTAAACAGAATTACACCCTTCTAAATCCTATTGAAGTCAAAGGGATTGGAAGGGTGTAGCTCTGTTTAGATTTTATCATGTATGTCCTCGAAAATCTTCAATAGGAGCTGGATATTGGTTTGCGGGGTAGACAGAGACCAAAAGATATTTGTGTATAAGGACCTAAGATTTACATTATTCCTAAAAAAAAAAATATTAAGATTAACGCCTTTATTCCCAATATGATTATTTTATAGGCAGTACCAGGAGTTCTTGGAAGATCTTGAAGAAGATGAGGCCATTAGAAAAAATGTCAATATATTTAAAAGTAAGTTTCCAATCTGAAATAACTTGGGCACTTTTCTGTATATATTAATATACTCGTTCTGTGAAACTCCACTGTAGTGTCTGTAATGCACAATTGGTGATACTGACTCTGGAGAAAGGCTGCGTGTAACCTATTTTCTGGCCCTTGTTGCTAAATTCTCTAAACCAATTTTAGGAGAAGAAGGTGCAAGAAAACATGATAGGCACCTGTTCATAACAATTGTGATGTTTGCTTTCTTTGTAGATGAGACATCAGACCAACTTTGTGCTTTAATACATCACTGATCACTAATTCACATTCCTAAGCGAACCTTGTCTTGACTAAGCCAAAGTAGATTAAACGGTTGAGGAAAAAAATCCAACTAGTTTACATCATTTAATGAAAAATAAAATCTCACGTATACTGTAGTAGTGAAAGAAGCTCCTTCATGGTCATGTGTTATAAATACCTCTAATAAAAATTCATGTACAAGTTTCTCAGTATACTATACAAGGTTCCATGCAATACAGGAAGGGATGCGTCATTTGATTGTGTATTTATAGGGGGAAGTCATCTTATTATTTGTGGAAGTCTCAACATTGTCTTTTGGTTCTGTAGATCCAGTCATTCCAGTGGAGAGTGACACAGACGACGAGGGTATTCCCCGGATTAGCCTTGCAGAGATGTTGGAGGATCTCCAGATATCTCAAGATGCTACTGGTGGAGAGGGTGCTGATATGTTAATGGAATGAGCTGGTGGATTTTGTTAATGTGAACATTGTTCTCCTGTAAGAAAAGAAACGTCCCTGCAGACATCTATCACAAGCATTCATACAGACTTGAGTTTGAAAATAATTAGTTTTGAACAGTGAATTCTGCAGGAAAGTACCATTAATGGTTAATAAACTTCTGGAATAGGTGATCGATCTGAAAGGATTTCTGTCATTTCCCCCCACAGAGTTGAAGCATTTTTCTGCGGTGGTATGCCCCGGTGATACCACTCTTTTACCAATCTGTCCCATACATTGTTATCCTGTTTTCCATGGAGTCCAAAGCAGTGCGTACTGCCTCTACTAACACTTTCTCATGGGTCCAGACTCAACACTGTCTTCTCTACCACACAGGATCTATATAAGCCAGCTTTCACCGTGTATCAAGATGTACATAAGGACATAAGAGCCCTGCTGGATCAGACCAGTGGTCCATCTAGTCCAGCATCCTGCCTCACACAGTGGCCAACCCTCTGGAGATCCAGCAACAGGGCATAGAAGCTGAGGCCTTCCCCTGATGTTGCCTCTTGGCACTGGGATTCAGAGCTTGACTGCCTCAGACCATGGAGATTCCCTTCAGTCACCATGGCTAGTACCCACTGATAGACCTATCCTCCATTAACCCTTCTAGTTGCTTTTAAAATCATCAATGCCTGTGGTCATCACTAGGGGTGTGTAATCCCCCCCCCTGGTATTTTTCAGTTTGGTTCTATTGGACTGGGGGGGGGGGGTCTGGATTCCTAAAAAAAAATCCTGGTTCCAAATACTGAATTCTGAGGGTCCAATAAACCCTAGAAGAAAAAAATGGGTGGGGGGAATTGCACATCCAAAGCTGTGCCAGCAAGGAGCAATCCGCTCCCCGCTGGGAGAGCTGATCCCCGGGCTGGCTTCTGCCAGCTGGCCTGACACAGCTGAGAGGCATAAGCAGTCTGCACTGCTTCTCCACTGTTTTTCATTTCTACCCAGTAATTCTCAAATATATCCAGAATTTTTTCAAGATTTAGGGGAGGGGTTCCCAAAAAATCTCGGATAACTTTGGGATGCCAAAATATACCCCCCAAAAAATCAATAAGGTTTTTTTGGGGTCTATTTTCAACTCCGGTAGATCCAAACACACCCTGGTCATCACTACTACTTGGAAATGTGTTGCATACATCCTAGAAAAACCTTATAAAATTTAAAGTTACTGAACTGTTTTATACTTCTTATAAGAGCAGCAGCCTTTCGTTGCTTTTGGAACAGAAGATTCCTTAAAACCAAATTTATGCTGATGCTTGATTTTTTTTTTTTTTTTGCAAGACAGCAAGGATGGTACAAAGAGTTGGTTATGCTGGCAATAAATATGGATTTTATATTACAAGTTATAGCCCCCAGTAAACAATGGCTCAATATGCCTTTAAAATGTCTCTATACCTGCATGATTGAAAATGTTAATTTTGTGTGTTTGAATCAACAAATCTTGTTTAGTAGCACATTTTGTTAATCTTTCCCTGTGGTAGGAATTGCAACCATATTTCTGTCTCTCCTTCCATCTGGCATTTGTGCATTTTTGAGTTGGTTATTGATATCCTTGACAGGGCAGCATAGCAAATGGGATAACACACCATGTTGTACACAATTAAAACCAAGTGAGCCTTGATTATTTTAGGTGCTTCAGCAGTGTCCACATTTTTAAAGGGGCTGTAAGAGGATAGTGATGTTATTATTTTTTTACTATAAGAATTTACTGGGAAATATTTAGGGTTCCACTTTAAAAAGCTTATAAAATTTGGCACCAAAGCAGAATTCAATGGCTGAATAACTTGTGCAAATATGTTCAGTGCATACATTGTCTCATTCTGCATAATTATTGAAATCCAATATATTGTAAGTTAAATTGTGCCATTTCAAAATTCACTTCAGCCATGAATTCATGATGTGGCCTGGGCAAAAGCCACAAATGAGCTGATTTAGCTGCTGCAGCTTTCTTGCTAGGGACATCTAATCAAAGCAGTATGCCAAACCTTTTTAAAAAATCAGTCTTTAAATGCCTAGTCATCATATGGCTGTAGCAAAGAGCCATGCCACAGCACTAAAAGGTGCTTGCTTGGTGACATTGTTTGTTAAAAATTTCACTTCTGTCTTGATGAGCCGGCTTTCATAAAGTGTTTACTCTGTGGCTGCATTCCTTGCTCTGTTCACAATGGAAAATGTCCCCTTCTCCTTTCACACATTGCTGGAAAGAATAGGAAAGAGCAAGAGTCCAGTAGCACCTTATAGACTAACAAAATTTGTGGCAGGGTATGAGCTTTTGAGAGTTACTGCCCACTTCTTCACAAAAGCTCATACCCTGCCACAAATTTTGTTAGTGTTTAAGGCACTAGTGGACTCTTGTTATTTTCTGCTGGTACAGACAGATTAACAGGGCTACCCATCTTGATCTATCTTGCTGGAAATAAGACCTGGCTTGCATGTTGACCTGCTGGCAGGAGAACAAACCAAAGTAGTTGTTTTGCTCACTGTCAGCAAACTGCGATTAACTGCAAACCAAGACACCTTCAGTTTCTTACCCTGTGGGTGAAAACTGGAGGACTTATGTGAGGCTAAGCACCCTGATTCCCCACCTCCCACCTTCCGGCTTAGCATGAATATTAGCAGGCCTGCTCTGGCTTGCAGGTGTCTATAATTGGGCCTCCCTGCCTGCACCATCCTTATCGCCTTCAAGGCTGGATTCAAGAATGTTACCACATTGGCCATCATGAGAACCTGTGTTCAGTTCTGTAACTAGATGGGAGGGGGGAAGCAGGAGATGTCATCATCTTCTAGAGGGTTCCATCAAGCGAGCTCTCTGATCAGGTTGAGGAGACTACCTGGTGCCAGATGGCTAAAGACTAGCTTCATGATTCCACTGGGCAGTGGCTCTATGCCAAGTCCCATCACGATAGATTGCTACATAGACAACGCTTAAGCCTCTAGCTTGGACTCTGATATTCTAAACGGTGTGCCAACTAATATGAGGTATTGAAGTATTAGTATGGACTGGTAACTCCCATTTCAGTGTACCTGTAGAACTGATATTCTAAAAGGTGTGCCATCTAATACCAGGTATTGAAGTATTAGATAGTATCCTCAGATCAGTCCAGTGAGGTAGGTTAGGCTAAGAGTATGCCTGGCCCAAGGTCATTCTGTTAGTTTCATGGTAGAGCAGAGATTTGAACCTGAGTCTCCCAGGTCCCAGTCTAACAAGCTGTCATGATATGACACTAGTGCATCCAGTGGCACCTTTAAGACCAACAAAGTTTTATTCCGCGTATAAGCTTTCATTTGTTGGTCTTAAAGGTGCCACTGGATGCAAAACTTTGTTCTGCTGCTTCAGACCAACATGGCTGTCCGCCTGAATCTCTATGTAACACTATCACTGAATTTGTCATCCATTCAAATTTGTTTCTGGATCCTTTGTGTACTTTGAGGCGAAGTGTTCAAAATTCCGTGTGAAAACAGAGCTCTGCTGGTAGAGCAGTATGGTAAATATGCATGGGTTTAGATTCAAATGCAGAATCTCCAGATAAACAGGAGAACTGCAGAAGAGTCAGAGTAGACAATAAAATCAAAAGGTGATCAATGGTCTGGCCCAGTATCTTGCATCGTGAAATGTTCTTATTTTTGTAAGCTCCATGTGACTTGTTAACCTCACAATAGCATGCCTCTCTAATATATTACACATAATCTAAGGCTGATGTAAACTGCGTATATAGGAATCCACAGTGCTCAAAGAACTCAAACTCCTATGTGTTGACCAATTCAAGAAAGGTGGTGAGTGACTAAAATTATATTGACCAAAGAATTCACCTTAAACCAGAAGGGTAGTGCAGGCCAATAGATCGTAGAGTGCTCTGGGAATGGACTCAGATCTATACTTGGCCATGAATTCTCCCAGAAATGTAATACTAGATGTTTTGCGATGTCTTTTAAGTGCCCTTCAAACACTGAGCCAAGTGGGAACCATTTTTTCTATGAGGTGGACCCTCTAAGACTGTATATATAACTAAGTATGGAGATGGTACCTGGGTCTTTGATAGATTACCAGTTCCATGGAGAAGTTCTGAACTAGGTGTTCCCAACCTTGTTACTGCTTTGGTGATTTTGATAAAGAAAAAGTATGTGACACCACAAAATGGCTCCTTTTTGGGGGGGGGGGGGTCATAAAACAGACGGTTCCAAGCCAAGAGTCCTCCTGTGATGGAGGCAGCTGCTTCTGAATGGGCACTTCCTTTAAATGAGATGGTGAAACCTCCTGGTTCTTCTGAAATATCTCTGGTTCTTAGG